AGCTTCACCTTTCCTACACAGTATTGATTGGATGTAAGAGAGTCAAAGTCAAAGGGACCTTAGGGAGTGGCACAATTTGATACATGGTACTAGGCACATTGGTTAATTGTTTGGAAAAAGTATGTAGCCTAATCCATATAGAGCCTTACTTCATACCACAGCAAAATAAAATCCACATAGTTTAGAACTTAATTATTTATAAAATCAAACCATTTATAAAATTACAAACAAGAGGGGAAATATCTGCTCTCTGGATAGGGAAGGGTTTTGTAAAATAAAATGCAATTAAAGACATGATAATAGAAAAGTCTAATAATTTACTTAAGACAATTTCAGGACTTGCCTCTTTCGAAAATTCCCATAAACAAAATTAATTGATAACAAATGTGATATAAATGTTTCTACATGATAGCACACACAAAGGGTCAATGTTCTTTAATCTATAACGTCTATAAACTACTCAATAAAAAACCATGACATGCCCGATAAACAAAGAACTGCACCTAAAGGTCATTAAATGGAAAATAGAAGTGAATTAAATGGAAAATACAAGCTAATAAACACGTAAAGAAAGTACTGCTTTATCAACAATCAGAGAAGCAGAAGTTAAAATAGCCATTTTAAACTATGACACGAGCCAAATATTTAGTGATGGAAATACATAACGTTGACAATCAGGATACCATAGATAAACTTTGATACATTGTTGGTACAATTGGCTACACCTTTCTGGAAAATAATTTGACCACACATATTAGGAAGACTTAAAAATGTTAAAAATATAAACTGTTAATTCCCCTTTTAAGTATCTATTTTAAGGAAATAATCTGAAATGTGAACAAATATTTATGATAAATGTTAACTATAACATCACTCGCAATTAAAAAACAAATATACATAACTTAAAAGTCTACAAATTGGAAACTGATTAAGTAGATGATAGTGTATTTAGATTATGTAATGCGCAGCAGTTAAAATTATGTTTATGAAGGGCATTTAATGACATAAAATATGTTTATACCATATTTTGACTAAGTAAAAACAAGATATAAAATTGCTTATATAGTATAATTTTATTTTTTGTAATGAAAACATGCTTAGAAGACAAAAAAATAAAATGTGTTGAAGTTTTAACAATAGACCATAAATGGTTTTATACTGCTCCTATAGGTAGTTGTGTTATAGGTAACTTTGTTAATGCTTCTTTTCCCATTTTTACATTCTAAACCTTTAAATATTAGATAATTAGGAAAACAGAAAAACATGAAGACGAAACTAAAAAAACAAAAACAAAAAAGAAAAAGAAAAAAATCCAGGCCTGCGAATTTACCTGAAATCCTCTTTCTTGTATTAAGATTTGAAGTACATTGAAATACTTTCCTGGCAATCACAATAATCTATTAATTATTATTTAGTAATAATTCCACAATGAACACAATTTTCTGCCAATTCAAACCACAGAAACAATATTTGCCTTTAACAGGATTAATTCTCAGTCAGTTCCATATTATTCAAGCCAATTTTCTGTCACTGAAAATAATTTTTTTTTTTTTTTGTAATCCCAATGAGGCATATACTACTTGTCTTCCAGACTGGGCTACAGATTGATGGGATATTCTGTAGACTATTTAATTAGACATAAACAAATATCCATCCACACACATCATGCACACATTAAGGAGAGCCAATTTGCACCCACAATTTGCATGTCCACTTGACTGTAGGTTATTTCTCTGGCTGCATACTTCCCACACACGGGGACCAAAGACAGCACCAAATTCCCCTCTTCTTACCCAGGTGCCTCCTTCACCTGCTCAGTGACATAATGTCCTCCACTGTAAAATTGGGTAAGTGATCTGAAATGTAAACATCTCTGCAATGGCTATAACGATGGCTGACATCTACACCAGGCAGTATGTAACTGACATGATGCTTCCTGAGAACAGAATTGGAAAAGCAGAAGGAAAGGAACACAAAGGACTGAGTTGCTCAAGTGAGAGAGAAAAGGTGTCTAGATTGGAGGGAAATAAAATACACAAACATTCACTTAGCTGAATAGAGGCTGGGCATGTTACAACCAAACCAGTTGCTCCATCATTTTGAAAAGGGTTGGTGCTTTTAAGTAGAAAGTGATAGAAACAGAGAGGAAGGATTTGAATTGTAGCAATGTAGCTAGAGCAAGTACGAATTTGCTCTTGAAACATTATGTTAAAAACAAGCCACAGAACAGAAGACAATAAGCATAACCTCAAAAAACCCAGAACACTGAAATATTAGGATAATTATGTTGATTCTCAAAATTTTAGCATGTCAAATAAATTAGAGATGATTTGGAATCATACTTCCACCCATGTTTTCAGAAAAATAAACTAATTCCTAATACATTAAGTACTTTACCCAATCACCCTAAAATTATCCAGTTAATCCACTTTCAGTACCTCACAGAGGACTATTTCCTTAAGTAAAAATACAATGCAGATACAGCTTTTAACAAATATTCTTGAAAATCAACTGTACATACCACTGTGTGAACTTGTTCATTGGTGCTTTGGATTTTCCCATTTACTTTTCTACCTGACAAAGTAAGGGAAAATGACATTATTTTCATCCTTTTTGTTCCTACATCAATTCTAGCTAATTGTTTTGAAGATGACTACAACTCATGCTCTCTCTAACTTGGGTATATCACTTTAATTAATATAATTTTATACATTGATTCCAATGAAGTATGAATGAAGGGACAACTAGAAGAAAGCTCAGGGCTCCCAAAAGCCTTTTTACGTCCATTTCTGTTGGTGCAATTTCTCATTCTAAACATTTGCACGTATTTTAGGGGGGTCCTAGCTGGGGTTCATAGTCAGGGACTGATTTTAAACTACTACAATGGCCAATGACTTATCAACGGAGACATCGAATATTAGTTTATCATGTATTTTAAAAAGCACTTATTACAACATAAGATTCTGAAATATCAATACTCAATAAATTCTGTTCTCTTTTGTATTTTCTCAAATACTAGAGCATAGGAATTAACTCATTTCATTTTACATGATGAATAAAATTTGAAAATTGGATAATTACGAAAACAAGAAAAAAATTACAAAAAGCTTATTGAAACAAACAGTTCCAAGTACTTACTCCCAACAATCGTCTTGTGATTGAAAATCTTACTCCAAATTCCACCTTCCACGTTGTCTTTCACCCCAAATTCATAAACTGTATTGGGCTTTAGATTTTCCACAATCGTTTCAGTGGCTGGACAGAGTTGAAAAATCCATTTCTTTTCCTTATCCTTTTCTCTGTAGCGAATTGTATAAAATCTGTTGAATAACCAAAATATGATGCTTTAAAATCACAGAGAGATTCAGAATGTTATTTCAAGTTTCCTAACACATCAAAGACTTCAATCTACTTAGAAGAGTGTATTTCACGTAGACGTCAATCTACTTAGAAGACTAAACTTAATATCGGGTTCTGCTTCGAGTTTTTAAAAATCCACAGGAAAAAAATAACTCAGTGTGTGCTTAGGTTTTTAATTTCTAATTGCATGTTGGGGTCTGTGCAGCAGTACAGGTATGGTCTGACAGAATTCCAGAATTGTGAGTTCTGTTATTTGCCACTTTGCAAAATAAAAGTTGGAAAACATCGGATATTCATTCTTTTCTGATTATGCATAGAGCAGAACATAGGTGTAATTTTATAAATACTTAATATTGTAGTTTTATAATTGTATGAGCTTAAGCCTTTTCATCCCATGGAAGGTGTGTTAGAGGTAATATGGTTCAATTTTGTAAAAGAGGAACCTGAGATTCTAACATGTATCCAGGATAGCATTTTAAGGGTGAAATGTCTTTATTGTTATAAAAAAGAATCAAGACTAATAGACAAGCTAAGTACACAATGAGAAAACTTAATGCAAATTCAACATCACTGTTACATGTTTGCTTAGGGCTTCATAATAGATTTATATACGTCAAAGTAAAATAATCCCCACCACTATTTTTTGCACCTTTACTACACGCTAGATTTACTTATGGCATCTCATTTAATTGTCACAAAAACACTTTAAGTGGTAGAAATTATTAATCCCATTTTACAGATGTGAAAACTGATTTTCAGAACAATTACTTAACTTGCCCATTATCACCTAGCTAGTGACTTTTACCAGTGGCAGTGGCAGACCAGAATTACAAAGACAGACTCCTCTGGCTCTACTTTTAACAGCCTCACTAAGCGTGACAGCAGATTAAGAAAAGGGGTTTGGGGCCGGCCCAGTGGCGCACTGGAGAGTGCGCCGCTTGGGAGCGTGGCGGCGCTCCCACCGAGGGTTTGGATCCCATGTGGAGGGTTCGGTTCCCACTCACTGGCTGAGCACGGTGCGGGCGCAACACCAAGGGTTGCGATCCCGTTGCCGGTCCCCATTACGGGCGCGACCCCGAGGGTTGCGATCCCTTTACCGGTCAGTAAAAAAGACAAAAAGGAAAAAAAAAAAAAGAAAGGGGGTTTCATTACCACTATATACAGTAATGAGAATGAGTGAACTAGAATGACATGTATCAACTTGGAAAGATTTCACAAACAAAATATTGAAAGAAAATAGCAAATTGCAGAATGATGCATGTAGTTTAATATCATTTACATAAACATTAAAACACTCACACAAAATATATTACCATATGTTATTCCTGGCATTGTAAAGGGATAACAAATACTGGAAGAATACAACAATTATGATAGTGCTTTGGCTCTCAATGGGGTGGGGATGTAAATGGGATTAGAGGTGGGGTCAAGAGGTAGTTAAACTCTATTTGCCTTTTATTTATAAGTAAACATTCTAAGTAAATAGAATAATAGCTGCCATGTATAGTGATGGAAACATAGGAATTTAGTGTGCTATTTTCTTATATCTTAAATTTTTTCTCAAGAATTTGGTACCTCTCCCTCACTCCCCACACCAGCAAAATTAAATGGACTAAGATTTGTGTTAATTGCTTTTATGTAAAGCTTTGAAAAGTCACTCATTTGTTTATGCTAAAAACACTTATTGGGCACCCTGTAGGTACTAGGCACAAATTCTTGGTGATACAAAAACAATTACCCAGAATCTCTGGAAATGAGGGCCAGTACTGGCTACATAATTTGCAGGGCTCAGTGCAAAATGAAAACATGGACCCCTTGTTCAAAAGTTACTAAGAATTTTAAGACAGCAACCGCAGAGCATTAAACCAAGCTTTGGCCCTTCTACGTGGAGGGCCTTGTGCATGGCTGCATGCCCATGCAGTCAGCAAGGGGTTATAGTTTAACAAGCACAGAGAGAGGAGATGCATTTGTATATTCAGCCTTACTTCTTACTATTTACAAACCACTGAAATGCTTGCAGTCATTGTTAGCTTGCTTCTTTCTGGGAAAAGCAAAAAAGAAAAAGCTTTGTCTCAGGGTTCCAATTCCCCATTCCCAAGTAGCAGAAAACAGAATAAGTGAAGAAGACTGTTCAGCCAAAACACTAACTGCTACTGGGGATGAATATTATAGAATTGCAGTAGAATGTAATAGAAGTCGTTTGTGTCTTGGGAGTCAAAATATCAAAACTAATTTATGAAATGCATTTCTTGACAAGTATGCTGCATGGAATTTTTATTGTTGCTTTTTCCCTACCCTGGCTCTTCCAGGACTTTAGAGAAATACTGAGAAGCTCTAATCAGAACAGATGGCCTACCACGATTTTGCATCTCTAGTAGATACAGTTCTGAGGACTTAATTACTTGCATGATCCAGGGGCCCTTTTTCTAACAGAACTACCAAAGGCCAGACTCAAGGCTTTCCAATCAACTTGATTTCACATCATCTTCCTATGAATAAAATGGGACAGAAATATTCCATTCTTTGGGGGAAAAAAAACAAAAAATTAAACCACATGTTGAGAAAATCTGACAGCGATTTGTAGTTCTTGTTGTAGAGATCTTTTACCTCCTTGGTTAAATTGATTCCTAGGGTTTTTTTTTGTGTGTGTGTGTGACTACTGTAAATGGGCTTGCTTTCTTGATTTCTTTTTCTGCTAGTTTGCTGTTGGAATATTAAAATGCTACCAATTTTTGCATGTTGATTTTGTATGCTGCAACTTTATTAAAATTGTTTATCAACTCAGAGGTTTTTGGAGAGATTTTGGGCTGTTCTATATATAGGATCACGCTATTTGCCAACAGGAACAATTTGACTTCATCTTTTCCAATCTGGATGCCCTTTATTTCTTTCTCTTGCCTGATTGCTCTGACTAGTACTTCCAGTACTATGTTGAACAGGAGTGGTGACAGTGGGCATTCTTGTCTCATTCCCATTCTCAAGGGAAAAGCTTTCAACTTTTCCCCATTCAGGATGATATTGGCAGAGGTTTTGCCATATATGGCTTTTATTATATTGAGATACTTTCCTTCTATATCTAATTTACTGAGCGTCTTTATCATGAAGGGGTGTTGAATTTGTCAAATGTTTTTTTCTGTGTCTATTGAGATAATCATATGGTTTTTGTTCTTGATTTTGTTGGTGTGGTTTATCTCATTTATTGTTTTTCATATTTTGAACCATCCTTGCTTCCCTGGGATGAATCCCACATGATCGTGGTGTATAATTTTTTTGATGTGTTTCTGTATTCTGTTTGCTAATATTTTGTTGAGGATTTTTACATCTATGTTCATCAAGGATATTGGCCTGTAGTTTTCTTTTTTTGTTGTATCTTTGTCTGGCTTTGTTATCAGGCTGATACTCTATGAAGCAAGTCTGGGAAAATGGCCTCTGTTTCAATTTTCTGGAATACTTTGAAGACAATTGGTATTAATTCTTCTTTAAATGTTTGGTAGAATTCAGCAGTAAAGCCACCTGATCCTGGGCTTTTCTTTGTTGGAAGACTGCTGATTACTACTTCAATCTCTTGGTTGTTACTGGTCTGTTCAGGTTTTCTATTTCTTCTGGGTTTAGTCCTGGTAGTTTGTATGTGTCCAGAAATTTATCCATTTCCTACAGATTTTCAAATTTGTTGGCATATAATTGTTCATAATAGTCTCTAATGAATCTTTGTATTTCTGTGGTATTGGTTGTTATGTCTCCCTTTTCATCTCTAATTTTTATTTGGGTCTTCTCTCTCCTTTTTTTAGTTAGTCTGGCTAATGGTTTGTCAATTTTGTTTATCTTTTTGAAAAAAACAACTTTTTGTTTGATTGATCTTTTGTAATGTTTTTTGGGATTCCTATATCACTTAGTTCTGCTCTAGTCTTAATTATTTCTTTTCATCTACATTTGGGATTGTATCGTTCTTGTTTCTAATTCTCCGAGGTGTATTGTTAGGTTGTTAATTTGAAGTCTTTCTATTCTTTTGATGTAAGCATTTAATGCAAAAAAACTTCCTTCTTAGAACTGCTTTTGCAGCATCCCACATGTTTTAGTATGTTGTTTCATAAATTGATTAGTTTTGAGAATTTTTAAAATTTCCTGTTTAATTTCTTTTTGAACCCATATATCATTCAGGAGTATGTTGTTTAATTTTGATGTTTTCATAGTTTCCAGAGTTTTGATTGTTGTTGATTTCTAGTTTTAATTCATTGTGGTCTGAAAAGATACTTGAAATGATTTAAATTATTTAAAATTTGTTGAGACTTGATTTGTGACCTAGCATGTGGTCAATACTGGAAATGTTCCATGAACTGGTGAGAAGTATGTATATTCTGTAGTTGGAGGAAATGTTCTGTACCTACCTGCCAAGTCCAATTGGTCTAAAGTATGGTTTAAATCCTGTGTTTCTCTATTGATTTGTTGTCTAGATGATCTGTCCAATATTGAGAGAGGGGTGTTTAGGTCACCTACTATTATCGTATTGGGGTCTATCTCTTTCCTTAAGACTAATAGTGTCTGCTTTATATATCTGGGTGTTCTAATGTTGAGAGCATATGTATGATTATTATGTCTTCTTGCTGGATTGATCCCTTTATCATTATATAGTAGCCTTCTTCATCTCTTCTTATAGTTTTTGGTTTAAAGTCTATTTTATCTGATATAAGAATAACTACTCCTGCTCATTTTTGATTTCCATGTGCATGGTATATCTTTTTCCATCCCTTTACTCTTAGTCTGTGAGTGTCTTTACAGGTGAGGTGAGTCTCTTGTAAACAGCATATAGTAGGGTCTAGCTTTTAATCCAATCATCCAGTCTGTGTCTTTTGAGTGGGGAATTAAATCCATTTACATTTAGAGTTGTTATTTAAATGTATTATGTTACTTCTGGCATTTTATCAATTTTCATTTAGATATTTTGAAAATTAAAGAGGACACA